TGTTCAGATAACTTAGTTCCAGGGTAAGGCTGAAAAGACCGGACACCATGGAGCCAAGGAGACCTGTAGGCATCTCTTTTCTTGGAGAGAAGGTAGTGGTGGCAGGGAGTCAAGGGCCTCAGGGGGGATGGAGTCTTCTGCACCAACCTCACTCCGTTTTCTCAAGCGCCCGGGAGGACACCCGGAGCAAGTGGACACAGGCCTCATGCCTGGTATGCAGGGACAGTGAGGGACATTCAGAAAGAGGGGCATGCAGGGGGTCCTGCCGAAGCCACTTCTACCAGAACCTGCTTCTAGAACATGCCAGCACACGGCCTGTCCTGGTCATCCTACCCTGGAGGGAAGTGCTTGCCCCCTCTCAACCTAGATTCGAAAGGGAACCAGGATTGGCCTGTAATGCCTTCTGCCCTGCCTGGCCCCTCGAGGGCACTCACTTCCTTTTTCCTAAAAATACTATGAAGTCTGTAGAAGAGCTAGGCTGCTCATAGGTGGCCCAAAGAGTCAGAGAGGGCAAGGGCCCAACCTGGGGTCACACAGCAAGTTATAGATCGCCAGGCTGGCATCCAGAGACCCTGTTTCTTAGACCCGTGGTGCCCAGTGGGCAGTCCTGCACCCCTCGGAAGCCAGCCTGCAGGATCTATCTTTGTTCCGTTCCTCCCTTTCTTGAAGAGGTCAAGGCCCTCCAGGGACAGAAGGAGTGCTGGTGACAGGGCTCCTCAGGAGCAGCGTGGCTTCTCAAACTCCCCAAACCTCTGTTTGCCTCTGCCGTGTCTCAAGTGAGATAGAATCCAGATCACCGTTGTTTCTAATCTTCTGTTCCTATTTCTGTTAGACTTTGGGGAAGTTCTTTCTGAAGTCTGCCTCTTATCCGCCTCTTACAACACACTTTTCCCCCTTCTGCTGGGTCTCGGGGTGTCAGTTGTGGGCTTCGGGAGACACCACCTTCTTGGTAAGATAGCTTAGGAGGGGAACTCAGGACCTGAACCCCAGAAGAGCAGCCCCTCTCTGAGAGGCTAGGGTATTAGTGAAGATGGTTTCCTGAGAACCTTGGTGGAGACCGCGCTTACATATTCGCATACATCCTCGTTGGTAAGCTCCAGTTGTAGGTGGCTGGCTAGCACGCAGGTGCATCTTCCTTATGAACAGTACTTAGGAAAGTCAGAGATGAAGAGAAACTGGCCATGAAAGGGATTGCCTCAGTGGTCTCCTAAAGGCGATATCCGCACACTGGTGCCCCTGAGGGTGGGCAAAGGAGCTGAGCAGGGACGCAGGGGCGAGGGTGCCCTGCCCCACCTGCCACATCTGGAGTCCTGCCTCCACAACTGAGAATCGAGGAGCCACGGAAGTGGGGCACAGTGGGACAGGAGAGGAGGAGGAAGAATATGGGGAGATTCTAGTCCCTCCCACTTAGAGATGTGGTCGCCATGGTGACTAAGGACCAGTGAGGTGGGATGGGGTTGAGGATGGGGTGGGAGGGTGGCGGGAAGGAGGCTCTGGGAGACCGGAAAGCCAAGCCGCCTGGCATTCCAGGGGGAGGGAAGCCCAGCGGAATCCCGAGATCCAGGTAAGAAACAGGAGGGCCGACAGACGGTGCGGAACGGAGGGGCGGGCCATTGTCTGGCGCTGACTCTGCCCTGAGGAGGGGCAGGCTGAGGAGTCAGACCATTGTGTGTAATGCTCAGCGCAGCTTCCAGCGCTAGCCAGACTGGGAGAGGGAACCCAAGAGGCACTGGGTAAGGGGTTAGGTGGATGGAGTGGGGTGGGCGGCAAGAATGCTGGAGACCTGCAGAGATAGGAAGAGATGGGGGGTGCTAGGGACACAGACTGTGGGCACCCTTAGTGTGTGCGCGCGCGCGCGCGCACACACACACACACACACACACACACACACACACACAGAGACAGAGTAGGTATTCAATCCATGTAAGTTGGTTTGAATGACTATATCATAAAAAAAGGGCAAGGCCGTGGGCTGAAAGGGGAGCTGGAAAAGGCTGTTCCCAAGACCCTGCTCTCAGAAGGGCTGCTCCTAAAGCTAGGAAGAGAGGAGGCTGGGAAAACTGGACCTGCCAGGTCACTGGGAAGCCAGGGGTGGCTTCTGTGCTGGCTCTCTCTGTGAAGCATCAGTGCAAGGCTCAAGAGCGGCGGCAGCAGCGGTAGGGTGAGGGCTTGACCCTCCAGGGTCCCTCTCTCCTCATCCCTGCCTCCCACCTCCAAGTCTGGTGATCAAGTCCCCCAGGAAGGGGCTACTCTCCTTTGTGGTGTAGGGGTTGTGGGGAGGACTTGGGAGGATTGGAATCAGGGGGAGCTTAAGTTTGATGCTGTGATTTCCAGGGGCTGACATGGTCCTGGGGATTCCCCAGGCTGAGCTGCAGGGCTTCTGAAGAATTGATGGCATCTGTCTCTAGAGCAGCGGTCCCCAATCTTCCTATGCTGTGACCCTTTAATACAGCTCCTCATGTGGTGACCCCGACCAGAAAATTATTTCACTGCTACCGTAATTTTGCTACTGTTATGACTCATAATGTAAATGTCTGTGTTTTCCGATGGTCTCAGGCAGCCCCTGTGAAAGGGTTGTTTGAACCCCCAAAGGGGTCACCTCCCACGGGTTGAGAACCACTACTCTATAGATTGCGGCCTGACACCAATCCTGGCTCAGGTGCTTTGGGTCGTTGGCCTTGGTTTCCTCATTTGTGCAGTGACGGAGGGTGTGTGGCTTGCCGGCTCTGAGCTTCCCGGGAGCAGAACCTGCTACATAATTTGTGGGGCCCAGCATGAACAAAAATGTAGTCCTCCTTTAAAAAAATGATTAAGGCTTTCGAGACAGCAACATCAGAATATACCATATGCTCAGCGTTGCCCCCTCTGAAGATCTTGTGTGGCTATACCTGTGAGATCCAGGGGTGTGAGAGACGTGTTGTTGGGCTCATGCGCCTTTCTCCCACCTGCTTCTTGTCTGAGCTTGACCTGAAAGGCACTGTGAGGAGGAGAGTGGGTGGCCCCCAGGGGCTGGACGCATCTATACTGACGTTGCCATCAGATGGCCTCTCTTTGGGGAGATTTTTGTTCCTCCTGAGTCAGGAATCATCCCAGAGTGACTGGTCCTCGGCTGGAGGAGAGGGAACCCCCGATCCTCCCACCCTGACACTTACTCACGCCATCCATTGAGCCGTTCTAAGCTGAGTTAACCCACTAGGGCAGAAGATGGGACTGAAGGAGCCAGCCGTGTAGGCAAAGCTTCCCAGTGAGCCAGGTCTGAGGCAGATGGGCACTGGGCTGTCCAGCCTCCTTGGCCTCACTTCCTTTCTCTGGGCAAGAAGTGTAGTGTAGTCTGTCTGTTAGAGTCAGGGAGCCCGAAGCCTCGCCATAACTCCTCACACTTCACGGGGAGGGGGGGGGCTGGGAGGGCACTGTGTCTTGTGCAGAGGCCCAGGGACAGGAGTGGAGTAGAGAGGGCGGTACTGGAGCCTGCTCCTCTGGCTTCCCCTAGCACTGCTCCTCCTGTGACCCAGATAGTGTCTCCAAAGGGAGACCCTGGGGTGGTGGCTTCCCAAGCCTGAGCTGGAGGTCAAGCCGACTTAGAGAACGGTGTCAGGAGAACAGAGAGATTGGCAGAGTCCTTACAGTGAGCATCAGAGTTTGGGGGAGTCTTAACGATCTTTGAGAGATACAGCCTCCTGGCAGGTCAGTGTGAGCCCTGCTCCTGGGCCATGGCAGGGAATGGCAGCAGAGGGAGAGGCAGGAAGGCAAAGCCAAGAAGGCTCTACCGAGGGATGCTTCCAACCCTGGAGCTGCGACTGGAGGGGTGGAGGTTACCCTGCAGTGGGAGTCCTGGCAGCGAGAAGGGCATTTAGGATGGAGATATGGGGTTACTTTCTGGAGGAAGACCAGCCCCAGGTCGCTGTGCTCTTTAACCTGAAGTCAGCTCCCTGGGTGAGTGGGCAGGGGCCCAGCCACTCTTTATTAGCCCAGGAGCCCTCAGTTACTCATTAACCTTGTGTTATGAGGTCTTTGCTAGCGCCTTTGGGGAGGAGGAGGAAACAGCCACCATTCCAGCTGGGTGGCTCTTCTCCAACATGTACCCTATTAAGCATGAACTCAAATGGGAAATTTCTTGAATTTCCCGTTGGCCTGATGGCGTCCTAAGTGTGGGAGACAGTAAATTACCGAGGACTTCCTCGGCAAAGCCATAGATAGAAACCTAACACAAATCTAGGGGTTTTTTGGTTTTGTTTTTTGTTTCTTGCTTGTTTATTTGTTTTGAGACAGGGTTTATCTGTGTAGCCCTGACTTTCTTGGAACTCTCTCTCTCTGTAGACCAGGCTGGCCTTGAACTCAGAGATCCACCTGCCTCTGCTTCCTAAATGCTGGGATTAAAAGCGTGCACTACCATGTCTGACTTTAAATGTTTTATCTTTCAGGGATGTGGTCCCACTGGGTGTGGGAGTTTGGGAGGTCTCAGTGCAGGGCAGTAGGGGACCCTACTACGGGGTCAGTGAAAAACAAGAGCAACGGGAGCCTGCAGCTTAGGCTGGTTAGGCTGGAGGTAATGTGCTAGAGAAACAAGGACACCTCTGAAGTGGCCTAGAAGGAACTCTTAATTTCTGGATAGACTGAAGAGAGAGGGAGGCGTGTCTCCTGCAAGGCCCATGAGCCTCACCTCCACTACCCCCCTTCCAGCCTCCCCGCCCTGATCCACCATTCACTAACTTCCGCCCAAGCCAGGATCTGTCACAACTCGAGGTAGAAATTCTGGTTTCCCTGGCCTGGAAACCACACTGGCTCTGGCAGGATGGGTGCCTGGAGGGCTGTGCTCCCATTCCAGCCGGGCTGAGCCTTCTTTCCTTGCCTGGACCCTCTTCTTTGCCTTGGATGGCACCCTTTTTCAGGGTCTGAACACAGGACTTCTCAGTGTGTCTGGCTCAAGGGTATGTGAGGTGAGGTGGGTGACATGCGTTCTGTGGTCATGGAGGGGGCGGTGGTGCCGAGCTCCTGGGAGGCAGACAACAGAGGCACAGAGACAAAGAGGGGAGCACTGCAGAAGTTGGGTGTCTGCCAGTGACTCCTGCCCAGGCCCCTCTCAGGAAATCACACAGCCAAGCTGGTAGATAAGCTGGAATGCCCCTACCCAAAGAAGAAGGCTCAGTAGCCCCTATTAAGCAAGAGTCAGAGCCCCGGAGGCCTGGGGGAGAGGGTGGGCTGCCTGCCCGGGTTGGGCTGAGAAGGCACAAGGTGTCAGCACAGTTGCGTGACAGGCCAGCTTGGGGAATCTACCTATTGAGTCCAGGAACTAGTTCCCCAGAAGCCCTTTGCCCAGGGCAGGAATCGTCAGGGCTTTGAACCATGGGGCTAGGAGATGCTAAGGGCAAGAGTGGAAAGTCACTTCACCATGAGTCAGGTGGGCTTTTAATAGTAGGAGACCAGAGACACAGCCTAGGCCAACCCAGCACCACTAGGCAGAGGGCAGGGGGAGGCAACCCCTAGAGGCTGGGAGTGGGATGGAAGTGAGATTCTGAGGGCCCTTCCAGAGAGGAACTTCTGCCCCCTGGGGTTCTCCTATTGGCCCTCAGGAAGGGTGTGGCAAGCACTGCTTACCCAGAAAGTGCCTGTTTCCCCAGAGCCATCTGGTGACAGTCTCTGTCTGACCATGGCCCTACCATCCCTGGGCCAGGACCCCTGGAGTCTCCTGGGTGTTTTTTTCTTCCAACTGCTCCTGCTGCCGTCACTGCCACCGGCTACCGGGACTGGTGGGCAGGGGCCCGTGCCCAGAGTAAAATACCATGCAGGTAAGTGTCTGATAACTGGGAGATATGGACTGTAGAGACGAAGGGGCTGAGGAAGGAGGAGGGTGTGCCAGGGGGAGGGGGCTGGAATGGAGAAGCAGAGATGCCAGGGAGCATCAGAAGCCCGGGAGAAGGGGACAGTACTTGAGGCACAGATTGGTCTGGAAGGGAAGAAAGGGCCACTCTTGTCAGTGGTTTTCTCTCCCTCAAGTGTCACTGTCACCAAGCAGGGCACCTTAAGTTCCTGGCTGCTTTCAACAGCTCTAGGAGCCCCGAAGCCAAAGCCCATGCCAGGCTATCTGGGGAGCCCAAGACAACTGCAAAGATCACACCAGGCCAGGCAGTCTCCAGTAGAATGGGCACAGGAGAAGCTGTCGGCAGCGTGCCAGGGATGGGCTGGAACCTGTAGTCCAGCTTCAATGGTTTCTTGAGGAGGCTGTGGAGCTTATGACCCCTTTAGTTTCAGGAAATGCCCAAGGGGAAGTGCTACACACACACACACACACACACACACACACAAGTTAGGCTATAGCTTGGCATCCTTCTGAAGCAGAATGGCAAAGGAGATGTAATAGTGGAAGGAGAGGCATCCCTGGGTGGGTGACAAACACAAGCAAGGCCTGGCTTCAAGGGGGAGCAGAGTGCGCCTTCTTTAGGGTGGGCTGCACAGAGTTCAGGGGAGGCCAGCCCATGAGTACCTTTCCCACTTTGTCTTCAGATCTCTGGTGAGGCCCAAACGGTAACAACCAGGTTGTCCTCTGACTAATGCATAGGTCCAATGTGCTCGTGAGAGAGGATCTGGAGTGTTCCCTACTCCTGGCTGACGTGCCAATGCGGCAGGAGCCCCCACAATCGCACACGCACCACCATGCTAGGCGGGCCTGCCCTGCCAACCGACATACTTAGCCTGTCCAGGTGGCAGTCAGGCATGCCCGCCCTGATGGGGCTCAGAGGAAGCAGCCTTTCTCGTCACTGCGCTGCTCTTGGTGGGAAATTCCTGTGACAGAGCAAGGGGGGAAATGGAGGGGGCAGAAATCTGTAACTATGACAAGTCTTGAGGCAGGTGGGTAGCTACCTCTGCTGTTTGTGGTTGAGAGCCCCTTCCTGTGTCTCCCCGTTCTCTCACCCATGCTGCCTCACTGCAGCTTGCCCCAGGCCCCAGGCCCCAGGCCTGAGAGTGCCTCTGCTAACCTCTGTTCGTTTCCTGTCTGTGTCTTGAGCAGGCTCCCGGCCCTGCAGCATCCCCAACCTATCAATACCCTGTCTTTGGCACTTTTCTATTCTGGGGACTGAACACACGAAGTTCAGATGCCTGCTATTGGGGTGCAGGGACAGGGGCTGCCAGTGAAGAGTGGATCCAGCTGAGGCTTGGCACTCCTCCCCCACCTTTGCCTCAGAGATCAGCCGCTGCTCATGGTCCCTCTTCATCCCCTCCTTATCACTGCTTCCCAACAGGAGATGGGCACAGGGCCCTCAGCTTCTTCCAACAGAAAGGCCTCCGAGACTTCGACACGCTGCTCCTAAGCGGCGATGGCAACACTCTCTATGTGGGGGCCAGAGAGGCCATCCTGGCTTTGAATATCCAGAACCCAGGAATCCCAGGGCTGAGGAACATGGTGAGGAGGCCAGGGACTAGGGTCCAGCTGGGAGAGAGGGCAGCAACTGCCCTGGACCAGCCCTGCTTCCGTATGAACAGCCCTCTGCCACTCTGAGTCAGCTGTGACAGATGGATGTGCTGCTGTGGCCTCACTGAGGCCATGAATACCGATTAAGTAACACCAGTGACTGAAAGGGCTGATATGGAACTCGTTGGCATGGGAGAAAAACTTTGACTCAAACAATTTGATGTGCTGAGGACCCTCATAAGATTCCTAGAGAAATCCCTGATTCTTGGCGCCATCATCACCCAACTGTGAGGGGGAAGAAGGCACATTCCATGGGTCCTTAGCATGTGGCATCTTAGCCACCTGCACGTATGGGGTATGGGTCAAAACTCCAGAGTCTTGGACTGGGAGTGTCACTTAGGGGTAGAGCACTTTGCTGGAGTGCGGAAGGCCCTAAGTCTGATCTGCACCCCTCCTCTGCAGAGGCTGACAGTCTCACCCGGGAAATGTGTGGTTTATAACCGCTGCTGAGTATGCCAGACTTTTACCCAGGCTCCCTGGCTGCAACCACCAGCAGGCTGTGAAGTTGAGCGACAGTGCACAGTCAGTTGGTGGCAGATCCTAAATTTGAACTCAAATCTGTCAGGTTCTACCCCAGAGCCGTGTCCTGATGAACCCTGATATTATGAAAGTTATAGTCCGAACCAAATTGGCACTATGACTGCCTACCAGACCACCGCTAACCACTTACTGGTGGTTTACATCAGAGCTGGGGGTGGGAGGGTGGGGGTGGGTTACAGAAAAAGCAAAGACATCGTTTCCTTTCATCTACTCCTCTCAACTGTCCTCTTTAGATACCCTGGCCAGCTAGTGAGAGGAAAAAGAGTGAATGTGCCTTTAAGAAGAAGAGCAATGAGGTAAGTGCAGGTCAGGGCACAGGTGACCCTGGTGTACCGAAGACCAGCACTGATGACCCGAGCGGTGGCCACAGGAGGGCCTGTTCCTGTGGTTGCTGCCTGGATCATGTTCTGTCAAGTTTCTTGGTGTTGACCTCAGCTGTTTTCTCCACTGGGAATGGGGAGCCTCTAAGACCCCAGGAGTTTGGGATAAGTGTCTGACAGCCTGATTTCTCTGCTTCTCCCTAGACGCAGTGCTTCAACTTCATCCGTGTCCTGGTCTCGTTTAACGCCACTCACCTCTATAGCTGTGGGACCTTTGCCTTCAGCCCTGCTTGTACCTTCATTGTGAGTTGTCCGATTCCCCACTTGCCCACAGGCCCCCAACACCTTTTCTCACACCCACCCCAGCCTATCCTTGGTAACTTTGGGAACCTCCGGTCCCTGAGGCCCCTCGTAAGATTTCTAGCCCTAGACCAATTTCCCCCTCAGTCCCTTTCACTCCTTCCTCATGTTCTCGTCTCTCAGCGTGCAACCCTGGCATTCTGGGCTCCCAGCCTCTTCCCCCCTCTAGGAACTACAAGATTCCCACCTGCTGCCCATCTTGAAGGACAAGGTCAAGGATGGGAAGGGCCAAAGTCCCTTTGACCCTGTTCACAAGCACACAGCTGTCTTGGTCGGTGAGTATCTGTCTTCTTAAGCTATCCTAAAATTTGCCTTTTCTAGCCACTCTGGGAAAGCGAGGTAGAATAGTTTTCCAAAGAAAGGGACAGAGGGAACCAGGAGCCTCAGAGGGCAGAGTTAGAGAGAGAACCAGTCAGCCCAGCTACTATCCTTCCTGAAACTGTTCCCAAAGGAGTACAAGGAAATCTATGTGGGAAGATACAAGGCTTAATGGCCTAGGAGGGTGTGAGGTGAGCTCTGAGGTCCAGCCAGTTGTTTAACCGCTATGCACAGGCAAATACCTCTCCTGATGCTCACGGAGCTGGATATTGAAAGTCATGTGCCTCTGCCCAGAACAAACTATTACAGACTTCTCACCCTGGCTTCCTACAGGAGATGGCCGTTGCTTTTTGAGCAGACTTAAAAGATGAGCAGGGGCCCAAGGTGTGTGAGCACAGGACAGTCATTTTTCTGGGATTGGTGTTTGAGGAAGGACCAGAAAAAGACTGGCAAGTGCTCAGCACAGAAGGCTACACAGGCCATTGTCTGTGGGCAGAGGGATCTAAAAGGGGTGTCTGCTGTGTGTTGGGGAGGCAGTATGAGCTTGGCTTTGTGGTTCTGCAAGAGGGCACAGAACAGAAGGAAGGCATGTGTGAGGAGGGCAGGCATCCTTCCCCTGATACCCTTGGTCCTCCTCCCTCTCCCTGGTCCTAGACGGGATGCTCTATTCTGGCACCATGAACAACTTCCTGGGCAGCGAGCCAATCCTGATGCGGACGCTGGGACCCCAGCCTGTCCTCAAGACGGACATCTTCCTGCGCTGGCTGCACCGTAAGGCCCTTGTGCTTCCCAGGCAGCACAAGTTTGGGACCCCTTCCTGACACTGGGTCTGCACCGCTTTAACTCACTCAACTCTCTCTGGAAAAAAAATGAATTAAAGTAGTGCACACAATTGGCTGGGTTGGTACATGCCCTTAATTCCAGCATCTGGAAGGCAGAGGTGGCAGCCGGTGAATCTCCATGATGGGAGGACAGCCTGAGTTACATAGTGAGTTTCATGCCAGCCAGAGCTACAGTAAGATCCTATCTCAAAAACGGAGATACACACACACACACACACACACACACACACACACACACACACACACACACA